ATTTACTTTTGAGATGTCTCTGTAAAAAACTGTTAAACAAAATATCTGATTTAATATATGCAATAAGTTTTAAACATAGTTTTATATTCATTTAATTATATATGTTTTTACATTCCAATGATTTCACTTGCCCATTTAAGCAGTTACTTAGGACGATAAGGCCCAGTGTATACATCGCCAACACAGCAGCCTCGTAAGTGAAAAAAAAACTTGATACAATCAGGTGCACAACAATTAAACTAAATCTTCCTCCTCTTATTCCACAAAAACTTCTCTTTTCCAAGCATATTGCAACATCATGTGAAGTATAATATGGTAAATACAGCTTAAAAAAATTAATAATGTAATTGTGGCAGATATTGTTCATAAACATCTTTTCTTCTAGCAACATACCACCGAGCTAATATTTTATCACTTTTTTCCAATCTCTGTTGAACTGGATACAATCTGAAATCCTATTTGCTGTAGTAGCACTGGCAAAAGCACACTGCTTGGATGACTTAAGAGACTGATCAACCATTACACCAAGATATTTTGCTTTCAGGACACTGTTAAGGTTATTCCCATCCAAATTATACTTTAATTCAAATTATGATAACCCACATGCATTATCTTGCATTTATTATAATTAAAACCCATTTGTCATTTATTTGCCCAACTCACTAAATGATCTAAATACTTTTGTAAAGCAGCAGCATCCTCTTCACAGCTAGAAACACCCAAGACCATAATATCATCTTCAAATTTAAGTAATTTATTAACCATTCCTTCATCTATGTCATTGATGTAAATCCAAAATTGCTGAAATCCTAAGACCCCTGAGGTATACCCCACTTGTTACATTCATCCAGTTTGACTGAACTCCATTTATAACAACCCTCTGCTTTCTTCCATTCAACCACTCTTATATCCAATTTGCTAACTTATCCCCCACACCTATAGAAATAATTTTTTTCAAGCTTTTTATGTGGCTCAAACCTATTTTGACTTTCTTCCAAAGGGGGTACAAGTGCCATATTATGATCAGAATAAAAGTCGGGAAATTCACAAACACTAATGTTTTCATACAGATTTTGCTGAAATGAACCCAAAACATTTTTGTTGAATATATTTCAACTCTGACGTTAGTTTTTAATGTGTGGGAATATGACTACAAGCTTATTTTCTACAATGTTTTTTAGTTGATAGTGCACTTTTTGTCCCATCTGGGCACAATAGAGTTAAATAATATTTACCTTAACTGCCTTAAATTCCCTAGTTCTGGAGGAACATTTGAAATGTCATTATTCTGAAGATCCAAAACAGTTAACACTGGAAGCTTAGCAAATCCAGAAACATTTACAATTCTAATCTTGTTGTCTGAAGCAAATAGGATCTCCAGTTTTTCAAAAGTGAAAACCACAGGAGGGAATTCTTCAAACCTAGAAAAACCATTAAATTTTAATCAAATTAAATAAAATGAGACAAATTATATATTACAACAGAGAACAAAACTACTGTGTACAAATACATAAGGTATCAAAAGCTCTTAGTGTTAAGATATTTATTACTGATGTTAACTTTAATTCAGCTTACACAACACTGTAATAATAATTATCATAAGTCAGAGAGCTATTTTAAACCTTTCCCCACCAAGAAAGTTAATGTTTTTCAGCTAAACATCTCAAAGTTCATGATACTTGGATATATTCTTTTACTAAAAGATTATTTAAACACTTAACATACAATAAAAATAACCATACATCTCATTTCAAGCTAAAATTTTTCTGAACTCTTTTTCAAGTTCTGATTGCTAAAGAGGGCTTATTTATTTGTTTATTTGCTATTAAGCACAAAGCTACGTAACGGATAATCTGTGCTGTGCCCGTCATGAGTATCGCTTTTTAGCAATGTGAGCCTTCAGATTGCACCGCTGAACTATTGGGGGCTACTCAAGAGGGTTAACACCATTACAGTTTAAACAACTGTTAACATGTTTAGTTATTTCAGCTTCAGCTAAGTAGTTTTTGTGTAATAACATGAAAATTTGGAATCAGATAATTTTGTCTAAACAATTCTTTGAACTATATATATAAACAATAACCTGTTAAACAGAAAGTATATTTTGATTTATCAGAATGAAAATATATTCAGACAGAAAAAAAAATCACATCTACCCAAAAGAAGATACATAATTTCTAAGCCTACAAATTGAAATAATACTTAAACTGAATAAGAGGCTTAACCAGATACAACAAAGTGCAAATACCTGCAGCTATATACTTGATATTTGTCAGGGTGTACTATTTGGTAATCTTTTATATTTCAAAGCTTTTTTTAGTAAATAGTTTTGTTTTTGTCACCTTGTATTTCTAGAACAAATGTTAACATTTTCCTACTCTGATAGGTACTTACCGAGGTCCTCTCACACATAAAGCTATCTCAATCTTCTTCTAAGCATCGCTGAAAAACTTTCACGCTCAGCACACCAGTCTATATGCCCCACCAATTTCACACCACTCTTGAACATGTATATAGCATGTGACTACTTTCCAACAATGGTATTGTGCCACCTATAATGGCACAGCTAATCCCTCTGCTATTCCTGCTCAATCCTCACTTTTGAGAATTGGCAGGCTCTAAAAAAAGTACACCAGCAGTGGGGAAGAAGGGTGGAAAGTGAGTGATAAGAGGTAAGTAACTATTAGAAATTCATTTTCAGTGTAAGAAAATGTTAACTTCCAATACGGTCTTACCTCCTCTTACACAAAGCTAGAATTTCACATTGCACAGGGTGGAGGGGCCAGTGTAGGCACTCAACACTGAAACCAAGTGGAAAGCAACCACCCTGAATGAACTGATGTGCTCTGAGATGAAACCGAAGCACACGTGTGGTACTGCATTACATCTGGAACAGGTATGCTCTTCGACCTTGAAGCAGGAAATGAATCTGATAAGGCAGAAAAAAAAGTGCACTAGTGCAATTTCTTTGGAGAAAGGTGCCATTTATACTAAAATATAAACTGAATGAACTATGTAGATAACCATCCTCAACTGGACAGATGAGGTTCCATAACTTGTCTTCAGTATTAGAGGGATTTACACTACTACTGTTAGTTCTGAGAAATGTAATGCACAGTAAAATATAATCAAAAGTAATTATGAGCATATACAACCTCAACTGAACACATGAGGTTAATAATTAGTTCTTAGAATTAGGAGATTGTGGATCAAAAAAAACATTTAACATAATGTAGCATAAACATAGTGGCTAGGGCATGTGGACCATGTTATATAGACTCAGCAACCCTAACCATAAATAAATATTGTCATACATCAAGCAAACGGAATTACAAAGAGAAAGTTAGCTTTTGATCAAAACTGGACAAACCCCCAAAACAACTGTAGGAGCTAGGAGCACAACAAACTAAACCTGGCATTTTGGGGTCGTTGGAATTGCCTCAACTCAACTGTAAGAAAATGGAAATACTTATAACCTGTATTATGAACAGAAATCATAACTAATACAACTGTAAATAAGGGAAGAGACATCCTGCATCTGGAATTATGAAGAGGACATGGAACATTTGCTCAATCATAGGAACAGTGTACATATGTCCTATAGTCGGCATTACAAGGCAGACAAAGTCCCCCAAACTCAACCATAGGAGCAGGTAAAGAAACTCTTGTAAGAGGGGCCTCCACTGCATAGAAATACAGGAACAGGGCAGTGTCATCCCAAACCCAGTATCATGAGGAGGATCCCATGTCAGCTGGACCTGCTCCAACCTACTGTTTTATTTTTCTGTCTATTGCAGTCCACCTGGGAAAAAGCATCCAGGGAAAATGGTAGAAGGGAAACCAGCATTGCCCTTTTCTCACTAATTGGATAATCATCATTATGAATTGTAAAGTCAATTTCTAAACTCACTCAGGAGGAAGCCTCCATGGTCCACCACCCCAGTAACTGGGAATTGGTAAGGACTCCCATGCTCCACAGGAAGAAAAAGGGGAAGTAAACATGGTGGGGAGTCCCAAGGATCATCACACAGGAAATAGTGCAATGGGTGTCCATGATTCCCTATTTTGAAAAGCAGACTGACCCCAATTTATTCAATCATAAGGTCAGCAGCGATGGGCAGAAATCTCCTTCTGCTTTACTCATGAAGTCCATGAATGATGTTCCACCATTGAGTGAAACTTCTGATATCTAGAAACATGTATATACTGCTGGGTATGCCACCAGTGGACTTGGAGAACACCCCATCTCTAGAGTGAGTATTATAGCACAATCAGTAAATAGTGTGGGTTTGAGGCAAAGCATATCCAACCAGGCAACACCCGCCACAGAGTGGGATCCCATTATCAGTGGCAAAAAAAAAGGTCTCTGAAAAAAAAATTAAAAGAAGTGATGATACTTACCCCAGTCAAAGGTGAAAGGATGTGTGTAGAATTACCATGGTAGGCAGATGATATCCACCTGAGGAAGATACAGCCATATCATACAGATAATGAAAATATTGGGAGTAGTGCACATTCTGACCTGAATTAGCTTCTCTAATGGATGGCAAAGACAAGCATCCAAATATATGGTGAGATGACAAATGTAATTAGAAGAAACGTTGTGGAGATAGCAACATTCCATGAATAAGTCCATATACACCAGCCTAATGAGTTGATGAACCCAACCAGTGGGTATGACGGAAGAGAGCATGGGAAACAGAAGGGTTCCAGGGAGTAAAAAGTCAGGAATGTGAACCTCAAAAGGAGGAAGTATGTGCCACATAGCACCGTAAAGAGCAGACCAGATAACGAAGTTGTTCAGGATTGGAATGGAAGTAATGTGGGAGATGGAAGGTAAGGAACTGGGCATGAAAGCCAAATCACCTTCACAGATAGCATAAGCTGTAGGGAGGAAGGACCAGTTAGGATATAGAATGACATAAGAGGAATGGTAGAGGATGTAGGTAACATTAATGACATAAATATCTGATCGACATTGTATGCAAGGAAAAGGAAATAGGTTTTGAGGGAGAGATTGTACATGGAACACATAGTCAAAGGTTCAAAGAGAGGATGGGAAAGGGCATAAAGGACCACAATGAGATCCCAATCAGGTAAATCAATAGATCGTGGAGGACACATGACTCGAAAGGAGTTAAAAAGGAGAGAAATGACAAAGAAAGACAAAATTAGGAGAAATGGAAGGTGTTTGACAAGGCTGCCTGATAGGTAGACAAAGTTGAAGTGGACAAGATTTTGACAAACAACCAAGTGAAGAATTGGGAAAGATGAGGAATGGAAGGGTGGGAAGAACAGAAATCATGTTGAAGAGACCAAAGGCTGAAGGTAGAGCTTTGCCATTGGTAAATGGACATAGAAGAACGTCTGATGGAAGAGGAAAGGGAAGATGCAACATGTGGGTTGTCTCTGGGCTGGAGCAATGGACCTGACCAAAGCCACGAGAGAAGACAGAGTGTGGTGATGTCTGGATGAACAATGTCAATCAAGGTTGATGAGTAGAGACCAAGATAGAGGTAAGGGTAGAGAAGGTTGCACAAGTAAACACTGGAACCATGGTTGGGCCAGCCAATACAGAACCACCAGTTGGACTAGACATGGAATGGTTTGGATTAAGGATAGAACTCTGGAGAGGAGTAAAATAAGAGGTAAGCATAGATGTGAAGACCCCTCCAATTTTGACTGAACTTGTCCACCCCCAGAGTTAGCAGGTGTGGAATGGGAAACCAAAAGGAAGGAAGTTTGGTGTACCAGTGGGTGGCAAAGGCATATATGAGTTGTCTCCAGATGGAAATGCATCCACCAAAAGACCTCTGGATTGAGGGACCACTCCATTTGGAGAATCTTGTTGAGACTAGATAATCAATATGCAACCAGATTCAGGGCACTAGGAACATGGCAAGCTAAGACCGCAATGTGGTGACAGCGGGCCCAGAAAAAGAGATCCAGGATCTGAAAATTCCTGGAATTGGTACACCCTTGTTTAGTGATATGATTGATCAGTGTGGAGTTGTTGGAGTGTACTACCCTCCCATACTGGAGAGGAAGGAAGATGGACAAACCTCCATATCACCATTCTCAAAAGCTTGAAAATGATGATATGGAGAGATGCCTTCTTGATTGACCAGAGACTGGAAATCCCCTGGGAGTTGAGGTTAGCATCCCAACCCTCTAAAGATGAGCCCTTGGAAGCAGCACCCCTGCTGTGGTTTGATCTCTGTCTAACCACCAAGCGAGATCAGCTCTGATCTGGAAATGAAGGGTAAAATGGTGGCCCAATCGATTCGAGTAGAAGTTCCACTGATTTAGGAGTGTCCACTGAAGGGAACACATAAGAGCCTAACCCATGGGAATGAGAGCTTCTAAGGAAGCCCACATCCCCAAGAGAGATAGAATCTCTCGAGCTGTGAGATAATGTGAG